TCTTTCCCTGCTAGAAAGGTTCTCCCTTCCTCTCCCTCAACTGCCTAACTTGTACTCGTTGCTAGGTCTCCACTATACCTCACTTCTAAGGATAGTTTTCCTGAAGACCCTAGGTAAGTTAGATTCTTACATAATCCCATAGTATCTAATACTTCCCCTTTCTTTACTGCTTAACCTTGATTCCAAAAGGAAATCTTCATTGAGAGCGGGGACTATAGCTGCTTTTTCCATGTTACATCCCCAGTGTGTTTAGCATAGTATTTGGCCACCATAGATATTTCTGTAAATATTTGTTCTTTGAATCTAGGCTAAATTTTAAATGTCAATACAACTCTTAATTTATATCATTTCAGTGAGATTACTGGTAATGGAAAAATACATGGGAAAATTAGACTTGTTAAATTTCATAAATACATGTTCATGTTTTTTACTTTCTGTTTGATCCAATTAGTTAAACAAGACCTACATTTTGTTGCACTAGCATTTTGCTTACTTTTAAAGATACTTATGTTGAACAACCAGAATTAATAACTTTTATTTCATCCTCCTTAGGTGGGATTTTTGTAATTCACGTTTACAGAGACAGATTGATGAGGAAGAATATTCTTATCCTGAACTGGTGAAAGTGGTTTGGTATAAGGGTATTACATATAGGTAAGACACCTGTGTTGGAGTTGGAGCTATTTAGCAGTATCACAGCGGAAATGGTACTAATCTTGCAGACAGACTCTCACAAGAGGGCCACAGTTTTGCTGGCCTAACCCTGCTCCAGTGTTGGGTGCTGAGTTTTACAGGTCACAGCTAATTTTACTAATGCACAAAGGGGGTCTTAAGACTCACATGAACTATGTTCATAAGATTTAAGTGGCAACTCCAAAGCCAGTGAGGGATCGGTTTTGCCATTAAATGTAGTATTCATATCAGTTATTCAAGATACCCCTTTCAAGGGATATAATTGTCAGAATTTGTCATATCAGAGGGTTGCCTGTTGAGCATATAATTAGATAAGAACTTAGACAGTAATAAGTTCTACTTTCATTCATGAAGCTGTATTAATTGAGCGGCAGCTCTGTGTCAGCCCTATTCCACTGAATTATCCCTACTCTTTGGCATCAGCAGTTTTCTAGTGACTGGAATACTGGTGTTGTCCAGATTGAGAGTTTCACTTTTAGGAATGAACTAGAAGAACACTGTTAAATTTTGGTTAGGAGAGAGCTCTCTTCCTGCATGAAGAGAGACTCCCTCTGACAACATATTCTTCATGTGTATTCCCCTCATACTGAGCTGAATTTTTTATATGGCACATACCAAATATAGTCAGTCACCTCTTAGAGATGGCACCTTGTATAGATGGCTAATCTTTCCATCAGGTAGTTATTCTACTAGTTTTATTATAAAAGAATCCTTTTATTTTCAGGTTCAGACAGTATTGTATTTAATTCCTATGTAATAGACATTGCTTTGGTAACTGCCATATGCCAACCCTTGTGATTGGCAGTGGGGATACCAGGAGTATGATAAGATATCTGAATTCCAGAAACTCTGCTCTTAGATACTTAAATAAAACAGACCAATTCTGTGCATTCTGTTTATTTTTTGTGAAAATTATATTTAGTTGATTGGGCTCGGAATATGAAATTATCTTCCTCTCTGAATAAGTAAAAAGACCGTCCTTTTTTGCTTAGAGTTTTGTTGTTTTTGCTTTTTAATTTTGCTATAGAGCACATGTGTTTGCTGGAGAGAGTAGGGTGAAGGGGTGAGGAAGCATCCCTGGAGGGCGGTGGCTACACCACAACCCCTTCTCCATTCTTCTCTCAGGATTTTGGGCATAAACGCACACACACCCAGCATGTTTGTTGAGATGCTGAATCTGGGTCTTAAATCTCACAATCAGCCATGTGGAATTTGACGCCTTAATTAACCACCATGCCACTAGCTGGCCTAGTGGGTTTTTTTGTTTTTAAGGTTTTGCCATAGGACACATGCACTTGCCAGGGAGAGAGAGACAGAGGGAAAGTGAATAAATCACCTCTTCGGGGGATGACCATGCCACAAATCCCTTCTCCATTGTCCTTTCAGGATTTGGGGCACACATGCACACATGCCCAACATGATTTTCAAGACTCCAGGTACAGGACTCGAACTGCAGTCAACCATGTCCAGCACTTTACTGTGCCACCTGCTGCCCCTCCCCTTTTTAAAAATCACTTTCATATGGTTTAATCTCAATTAGGAAAAATAATTAATGATTATTTTTCTTCCTTAGACTTAACCATAAAAACGTAAACTCAATAGAGATTTATCCTGGAGATGGATCTGTTTTCAAGTCAGAAGGAGCTTATTTGGGGAACTATTTTACATATTATTCTATTCAAGGAGGATCAGCAGAGGTAAGGTAACAATGAGATCTCAGCTTACAAAGAGTTGGGGATGGAGCTCTTTCTCAATCTAAACATATATGGGAAATTTGGTCTTTATATAATTTTGCCTTCTACTCCGTAGATTGGAGAATTGATATAATCTTACTGCAAGCATTGGGCCAGTAGCTATTAATTATCTTGTTAATTTTACTGTATTCTTAGCCGCTGTCATCCATTTGCTTAAGCTAAACCTCTGTCATAGAACTTATCAGTAGAAAATGCAGAAGCTAAAAGAATAACTGAGTTAATATATTACTTTGATTTAATATTTGCACATTAAAAAGCACATTATTTTTCTCCTACTATGTAATTGTTTCTTTATTTTAAACATGTAATTCCTAACTTTTTTTCTATTTTGCAAGAAGGCATATGCACTTGCCAGAGGACAGAGACAGAGAAAGTGAAAAAGCAACACCCATGGCAGTCATGTCATAATCCCTTCTCCACTTCTTTAGGGATTTTGGTTGGGCACACACACACACACACACGTCTCACATATTGTCAAGTCACCAGGTCTGGGACTCAAACCACATAGTCAGCCTTCTAAACCACTGTACCACAAGGTGGCCCACTTCTAAATCTTTATATACAAGTAGACAGTTTAACAATATTATTCTCTGTTGTTCAGAACAACAGTGAAACATAACCTGATACATTTATTGGACCATAAGATAGTAATATGGCTGTTTTGGTAATGATCTTAAATTTGCTTATTCTGACATTTGACATCCATTTTTTAGGGTGATCAAAAAATCATACTATGCTTTACACGTTGAAATAGAATATATATTTTTGCTTTTCATTATAGAGTAGTTAAGTAATAAGATTATTGGAATTGTTAGGTAGAGTTCAAAATAAAACAATTTTTTTTTTGAGGTTTTTGCTATAGGATGTGGGTGCTTACCAGAGAGACAGAAAGTGAGCAATCACCCCCCCACCCCAGGAGGGGATGACCACATCTCATTCCTTTCTCCATTCTCCTCTCAGGATTTGGGACACACACACACACACACACACTCTCTCACACACACAGCATGAGTTTTAAGCTGCCAGGTCCAGGACTCAAACAGTAGTTGACTATATGGGAGACCAGTAACATAACCATTTCACCATCTGCTGGTCCCTAGAGCAGAATTTTTTTTCCTTACTTTAACCTGTACTCCCAAATAAATTCCAGGTGAATTAAAGAGCTAACTGTAAGACTAAACTTTATAATTATTAGAGGAAAATATAGAATGCTGTTTAAAATCTTCGAGTAGGGGAGGCCTTCTTAAGTAGAATGCAGAAAGCCAGAAGTTTTGATAATATCAAGTAAAAGTGATCAGAAATTCTGCTTCTAGGTACCTAAGCCTAGCACAGTATTTGCATGACTAAGGGTATGGATTGGGTATTGTCTATCGTAGCAAGAAACTGGAAGCAACCTAAATATTCATCAAAAGGAAAATAGTGAAATAAGTCATAGTGATCAGATCATGGGAATGCTATATAGGAATTGAAAAGGAATGAAGATGATGTAGATTCATGGATTTTATTGAATGAAAAGAAAGTTACATGAGAACATGTACACTGATATCTTTGTGCTCAGAACAAAATGTAGAAAGGCCAGATGGTCTCACAGTAATAAAATGTGGCACATTGTGCAGCACACACCCCTGTGAAAGTTTAGGTTTGCATCTGGAGACATCTGAATCTGTTATGCATGCACAGAACCTATAATATAGGGCTAGCTAAAGCTGGAGGTGGATCGTGGCATAAGACTGTTGGAGGTGCTGTTTTCCATCTCTCTTGCTCAGGAAAAAAATCAAGTAAACTTAAAAAAATAAGTAAACCTTAAGCCTACATAGTTGGAAAGAGAGAGAAAATAGAAGTAATTACTTTGGGGATTTCAGAGAGGAGTCTAGGATTTCGTGAAGGAGGAAGAGTCAGGGAGAACTTAATTCTTGTATTTTTTAAAACTTTTATTAAGGGACCAGCAGTGGGCGTAACGGCTATGTCACTGGACTCCCATGTAGTCGACCACAGTTTGAGTCCCAGACCCGGTGGCTTAAACTCATGCTGGGCATGTGTGCCCAAGATCCTGAGAGGAGAAGGGATTATGGTGTGGCCATCCCCCCTGGAGGGTGATTTCTTGTTTTCTGTCTTTCTGGTGAGCACACGTGCCCTATAGCAAAAACCTCTCCAAAAAAAAAAACATAGTTATGTATTAATATTTACGTTAACTAAATTGTTAAGTAGGAAAGATTGACAAGTACAATATAAGTGCTTCCGTGTGATTTTTTTAAGCTGCTGGGTCTGGGACTCAAACTGCAGTTGGCCATATGAGAGTCCACCGCCTTAACTACCACATCACCTGCTAGCCCATCCACTGAAGGATTTTAAAATAAGGATGTGCCATCAGGTTTTTGTTAGATCATTTCCTAGAAAGATGAACTAGATAACAAAGAAGTAAAAAACTTCAAGCTATAGAACCAGTTAGAAGACATTTATAGTAACTTACGTAAAGATTAGGCAGTGGTTGTGAAAAATGGAGACATGGGAATGGATAAATTGTGAAAAATATACATTTTAGAATTATTGAGTTCGGGGGGCCAGCAGGTGGTGTGGTGGTTAAGGACGCTGGACTCCGTCATGGCCAACCATGGTTCAAGTACCAGACCTGGCGGCTTGCTTTCTCATTCTCCCTCTCTCTTTCTCTTGCTCTGTCTCTCTCTGTCAAATTTAAATAAATAAATAAAAGTTTAATAAAATAATTATTTAAAAAACAGAATTATTGAATTATTTAGTTCCTCAGGGAACTCAGTAGCCAATGGGGTAAGGCAAAAAATTAAAATGTAGTATTTTGAATACTTAACTGTAACATCGAAGGCAAGGAAAAATTCCAGACTTCAAAATGAGAAAATAGTAAAGCAACATAAAACATCTTTAAAAAATTACAGGTTTGGGCCAACTAATGGCATGGTGATTAAGATGTCTGGATCCTACATGGCTATTCCACAGTCCAAGTCCCGGACACCGTGGCTTGAAAACACACCTGGCCCATGTGCATGCATGTCCAAATTCCCAAGAACAGAATGGAAGAGAAGGGATTACGATGTGCCCATTCCCTTTGGGAGGTGCTTTCTCATTTTTCTATCTTTCTATCTGCCTCTTGCTCTGTCTACTACACATGCCCTAGAGCAAGAAAGCAAAACAAAACAAAACAAAAAACAGGCTTTAGATTAGTTAAAATAACTGCTTGCCTTGACACTATTTCAAGAGTAATATTAGCAAATAATGAGAGCTAAAGTTTATTATTAATGAGATTTTTTATTTTATACTAATTTTCAGAGAGAAGAGAAAACTTACTCAGTTAATAACCTTCCTCCAGACAGACCAGGAAGTCAGTTCTCTCTGCGTTCCTTAATTAAGCAGGCGACCCGGTAAGTTCTTTGCATTAAACTGAATCAAGTGCAAGGTAGCTGACCATCTTTAGACATTTTCTTGTGGCTAAGACTCAGCAGAAATATATATCTTTGGTAAAATCTGTCATCTTTTCTGGTTGTCTCTATTTCATTATAAGAGAATTTCAGGGTTTGAAATTTAATTCATGAAAAACATCCATCTGGTTAGCAAATGCTGGGAGGAAAGAAGTGCCTTTTCTCTGGAGAAGTGTGGCATTGTCCTTGGGCATCAAGTGGGAGATTTGATGATACATTATTATCCTCCGAGTAATAATGATTTCTGAGGATACTAAGGATAAAGTATAGATTGATTCTTTGGTTTGAAAATTTTCTTAATTAATATGTGGCACCCAGAAGAATGAAAGTAGATTGTTGAATTTAATTATTTATTTTTATTAATTTGTGTCTGAGCAACCTCCAAAATAGATTTGAAGGGACAAAATTTGTAATTTGATTTCCTAGGGATGGTTGATTTACATCTCCCCCACATTTAGCCTGTGCTTAAACTTTCAGGCACTGTGAATCTGTCGCCTTTTAAAAAAAGAGCACCCTGGGCCAGCTCTGTGGCCTAGTGTTTAAGGCAGCAAGATCTCACATGGCTGACTGTGTGTTCAAGTTCTGGACCTAGCAGCTTGAGAAACATGCCAGGCATATGTGTATGTGTGCCCAAAATCCCAGAAGGAGGGGGAAATGTAGAAGGGATTGTGGCATGCTTTCTTCTCTCCCTTTCTCTCTGTCTCTGTCTAGTGAGCACATATTCCCTCTAGCAAAAAAACCATAAAGCAAAAAACCTGAAAATTCTTCCCATGGAGTCATTTCATTGCTAAAAATCAGAGAAATAACCTTAAATAGGTAGGTTAGCACAAAGAGAAGCAACAGTAGTTCCTTTGTAGAGGCTTAAGAATTTCTGAAAGAAAAGAGTTTCTAACTCATTTCAGTACAAATGAGTTACTAGCCATCTGAAATGATGTATGGCACTGACAATTGGAAGATGTCATTATTTGCAAGTGTTTAAAGTGGTGTTTTTTGTGTTCACAGAGTTCTTCAACATTGCACCAAGATAAGGCTTTCTTTAAGCCATAACTATCATATATGCTGCTGGAAAATGGTATGTTAGAAGTTCTATTTCAAAAGCAAAATACTGTTAATTATTTTATTGTGTCTATACTTCTCAGTTCGGTTTACTTTCATCTAAGTCATGTGAGAAATTCTTTGTAACACTGATACTGGTTTATTCCAAAAAAGTGTACCTATTAGACAAACACTGAAAAATCTTGACTTTTTTGTTATTCTTTGATCATAAATAGTTTGGTTTTATCTATTTTTAATGAAGGGGGAAGGACAGGGAATTAACTGCATTTGAAATACGTAAAAACAGTCATTATAAATCATGATATTAGAGTATTCTATATGTTTATGGTTGTAAAAGTAAGTTCTTTTGTTTAAAAAAAAAAGTTACTTATTAGATAGATGGTGTAGTGGTTAGGACACTGGACTCCCACATGGTCGACCACAGTTCAAGTCCCAGATCTGGTGACTTGCTTTCTCACTTTCCCTTCTCTCTCTCTCTCTCTCTCTCTATTTCCTAGGGATGGTTGATTTACATCTCCCCCACATTTAGCCTGTGCTTAAACTTTCAGGCACTGTGAATCTGTCGCCTTTTAAAAAAAGAGCACCCTGGGCCAGCTCTGTGGCCTAGTGTTTAAGGCAGCAAGATCTCACATGGCTGACTGTGTGTTCAAGTTCTGGACCTAGCAGCTTGAGAAACATGCCAGGCATATGTGTATGTGTGCCCAAAATCCCAGAAGGAGGGGGCGTAGGAGAAGGGATTGTGGCATGCTTTCTTCTCTCCCTTTCTCTCTGTCTCTGTCTAGTGAGCACATATTCCCTCTAGCAAAAAAACCATAAAGCAAAAAACCTGAAAATTCTTCCCATGGAGTCATTTCATTGCTAAAAATCAGAGAAATAACCTTAAATAGGTAGGTTAGCACAAAGAGAAGCAACAGTAGTTCCTTTGTAGAGGCTTAAGAATTTCTGAAAGAAAAGAGTTTCTAACTCATTTCAGTACAAATGAGTTACTAGCCATCTGAAATGATGTATGGCACTGACAATTGGAAGATGTCATTATTTGCAAGTGTTTAAAGTGGTGTTTTTTGTGTTCACAGAGTTCTTCAACATTGCACCAAGATAAGGCTTTCTTTAAGCCATAACTATCATATATGCTGCTGGAAAATGGTATGTTAGAAGTTCTATTTCAAAAGCAAAATACTGTTAATTATTTTATTGTGTCTATACTTCTCAGTTCGGTTTACTTTCATCTAAGTCATGTGAGAAATTCTTTGTAACACTGATACTGGTTTATTCCAAAAAAGTGTACCTATTAGACAAACACTGAAAAATCTTGACTTTTTTGTTATTCTTTGATCATAAATAGTTTGGTTTTATCTATTTTTAATGAAGGGGGAAGGACAGGGAATTAACTGCATTTGAAATACGTAAAAACAGTCATTATAAATCATGATATTAGAGTATTCTATATGTTTATGGTTGTAAAAGTAAGTTCTTTTGTTTAAAAAAAAAAGTTACTTATTAGATAGATGGTGTAGTGGTTAGGACACTGGACTCCCACATGGTCGACCACAGTTCAAGTCCCAGATCTGGTGACTTGCTTTCTCACTTTCCCTTCTCTCTCTCTCTCTCTCTCTCTCTCTCTCTTTCTCTCGTCAAATTTTAAAAATAAGAAAAATAATAAATCTTTTAAAAATGTTTATTTATTTAATTAAAGAGACAGATAGATATAGTCTTGATCCAGTCTTGCCATGCCACAATCTCTTCAGCTTTTCAACCAGTCAGGATTATGGGTGCACCCACAGATGTATCCAGCATATTCAAGTTGACTAGCATCTGGTCCTAGGGCCTTCCATTTGACTCCAGTATTACGCAGCTGTGCACTACCATGTGCACCACTGCAGCTGGGCCTAAAAGTAAATTCTTTACTGCTGACTTGGAGAAAGAAAGATTTTAATTTCTGTGTCTATACTAATTTAATTGCAAACCAGTAAGATGCTATAGTTCCTAATTTGTGTCTTTATTCTATGTAAAGTTCAGAGCAGAGTGATGACTTTACAAATATACTAGAACTTAATCAGCTTGTAATAGACTGTTGGTATCCACTCCTGGGAAAGATAAAACATATATAAGAATGTATAGTAGTCTACTTATGAATAAGAATCTGAAGTTGCCTTAGAGTTCATTAACATTCATTTAAATCTTATTAATGGATAACTATTTCCTGATGCTTTTATTTCCTTGATTTTAGGTATCCAAGATAAATGATAGCAAGATACTACCTTTGCTTTTGAAAGAATCATTCATACCTAGTGTGGGAAGATTTCTTGCCTATTCTGATAACAAAGTACATGCTATCTTTTTAGATGGTGTTACTCTAACCCTAAATTGGAATTTAAGCTCTTCTGCTGAAAAGGGACAGGTAAGTATACTTTAGACTGGAATCTATTTTTTTATTGGTTATTTATCTGTGAAAAACAGAATAAAGAAGTTACTTTGCAATCTCAATTTATTTTTTTTAAGTATAAAATCTGTCAGGCTTTATTGATCTCATTGAGTTTTCTATCAAAAATTAGAATAGTGTGGGACCAGCAGTTAGTGTCGCTGGACTCCTACGTAGTCGACCACGGTTCGCGTCCTGGACCCGGTGGCTTAAACTCACGCTGGGCACGTTTGCGTGCATGCCCAAGATCCCGAGAGGACAATGGAGAAGAAGGGATTGCGGCGTGGCCATCCCCCCTGGGGGGTGATTTCTCGCTTTTATCTCTCTGTCTCTCTCTGTCTGTCTGGTGAGCGCACGCGCCCTATAGCAAAAACCTCTCCAAAAAAAGAAGAAAAAAATTAGAATGGTGTGACAAAGTCATTTTTTATAAAGATAACTCATTAAAGAGAGAGAGGAGTTAGGATTTTGATTCCTTTTTATTATTACCTATTTGAGTGGTGATTAAATAATATCCATATCTTACGTAAATATTTAAATCGTCAAAATAAATTTTTAATGATTCGTCTACTTATTTTTTTTAATGTTAATAATAAAATTAAAGAGGTTGTTTATAGCTTTGTTTTTAGTTTCGGAATGATAAAAACTTCCTTCCTTGCTTCTTAAGGTAAATCAAGGTCTCAACTTAGGTTGGTGTAAGCTAACTTTTCCTGATGGACAAGATCAGCTAATTCAAATTGAACATGCTGGACCATATGAAAGGTACTGAAAAGCAATTGTAAAAGTACTTTCAGAACCAACCCCGTAGCACAATAGCTAAAGTGCTGCGCATAGAAAGCTGGATCCCACGTAGCCGACTGATTTGTTTCCTGGCTCTAGGCAGCTTGAGAATCACATTGACCATGTCACATTGCAGGGTGTTTGGGAGTTGCTTTCTTTCTCTTATTCCGGCAAGCATGTGCACCCTCTTGGAATTTAAAAGAAAATTTAAAAATTATTTTTGGGGCTAGCCTTTGGCCTGGTGATTAAGGGGCCACATGGCTGACAATGCAGTTCAGTTCCCAGACAAAAACATGCCAGGTTCATGTGCATACATACCCAAAAATCCCAAAAGGAGGGAAATCTGAAGAAGGGATTGCAGTGTGATTATTCCTGTGGAGGATGCTTTCTTCCTCTCTTCCTTTATTTCACTATCTCTGTTTTTCTCACTCTCTGACAAGCACACATGCCTTCTGTCAAAATTAAGAAAGAAATTTCATACTTTAATTGACAGGAAATATATAAATATCATTTAAATGTTATGTATCTTTATAGTTTTTACATGTGGATAATGGGAAGAAAGTCTTTCAACAGGTTTCAAAGTTTACAACCATATTGACATTGATCATAACTAAATAGATCATGTCAGCTTTAGTTATTTCCATTTGTATTCAAAAGGGTTTCCAAAATAAAATGTGTTATGGACATTCTGATTTGCTGTGGACTTTGGTTTTTGGTCTACTGTGTTAGCTAATTAACTAATCTCCTAACCAATTTAAAATAAGGTTTGCAACCACAAATAAACATAATTGTGTATGTTCTTATTAAGTTGATAAAGTTAAATTAGCTGATGCTTATTCCTAAAATGAGGAAGCTTCTTAAAATCAGTTTCTTCTGAATATGCCTTTTCTCTTTGGGCTTATGTAATTTGTTATTAGTTATAGTGGTTCTACTTGTAATCATTACATTTCAGTTATTTTACTTGAGAGTGTTCATAGAATAAATGCATTTTTTACCTCTTTAATTTGTCTATAAGGCTTTATTGCTTTTTAGTCTAAATGCTCCAACATTCATTGCTATTTTGAATGATTTGCATCAAAAAGATAGTGTTTTGGACCAGCAGTTAGCGTAATGGCTATGTCGCTGGACTCCCATGTAGTCGACCACTGTTCGAGTCCCGGACCCGGTGGCTTAAACTCACGCCGGGTGCGTGTGTGTGTGTGCCCAAGATCCCAAGAGGACAATGGAGGAGAAGCTGATTGCGGTGTGGCCATCCCCCCTGGGGGGTGATTTCCCGCTTTTTGAATCTCTGTCTCTCTCTGTCTGGCGAGTGCACATGCCCTATACCAAAAACCTCTCCAAAAAAAAAAAAAGATAGTGTTTTTAGCAGACAGTATTGTTTCAGCGAGTCATTTCAGATCATCTGTTTTATTACACTTGATATTTGTTTGGTATATTCAGTGAGTTATATCTAATCATACATATGTGTGCATATACAAGGAGACTTTAAAAGTTTATAGAAAAATAAAATTAGTAGTATGAGTTTATTTTGGTACAAAGAAAATTTGAAATTCATGCATACTTATTTCATAATACAAATTCCCCAGGAGCTTTTTGAAGGCTTCTCTTGTATGTGTGTACCTATGTATGCATTACTGTGTGTTTTCTAGTTTAAATTTTAGCAAGCAAATACTAACTTAGTCTTATTATGTGTAAAGACATTTTCAGCATAAAACTTAATGAAATTAATTTTACTTTGAAAAAAATGAAAGGAGAATTTGAACATTTGAGTTTGAACTTTAAGTGAAATTTAGGTGTCACAAATTTGTTTTGCTTCTTAAATGTCATCTTTGTTAACTATGAATGTGAATAAATCATTTTATTCTTAATGAGCAATGGGAAAAAAAAACCTGCCTTTTCTGTGTCCAGTAAAAAAGATTTAGAAAATTGTCCAGTAAATGTCTCAGTTTAAAATTTTTTCTTTAATTCATTTTGTGTACAAGTTTATTTTTCAAGTATTTCTTCTAATCTTTTTTTTAAAAAAGTTATTTAACTTTATTTATTTTTATTTATTTTAATTTGATTAGAGAGGGAACAATCAAGAGAGAGAGAGAAAATGAGAAAGCAAGCCGCTATGTTCGGGACTCAATTGCAGTCGACCATGTGGGAGTCCAGCACCCTTAATCATGCTACCTGCCGGCCCCTCTTCTAATGTATTCTAATGTATTCCCTGTAGCTATGTGACTGCAGTCAAGTCATGGTGCAGAAGACTGACCCAGACTGGTCCAAGAGAAGTGCTGACACATCCTTCATCTACCGTTCTCGAAGAAAACTGGTACTTATGTTCTTTTAGACTTAGAATCTATACAGGTGACTGATACTTTAAAGTGTCAAGTGGTAAACTCCGAGACTTTTTCCTAAGAAAACTTTCTTTAGTTGTAAACCTATTTATCTCTTAAAATTTTTTTGATAGTTGGAGCTTGAAAATAATTTCTTTTTTCTTTTAAGAGAGAGATTTTTGATTTTTGGTATAAGGTGCATGCAGTTGTCAGAAAGATAGAGAAAGAGACAGAAAGCGAGACATCACCCCTCGGGGGTATGCCCTTGCTGCAATCCCTTCTCCTCCATTCTCCTCTCAAGATCTTGGGCATGTACACACATGTGCCCTCAGTGAGTTTTAAGCCCCCAGGTCTGGGACTCGACCCACAGTCCACTATGTGGGAGTCCAGTGGCATAACCATTATGTCATCTGCTGGTCTTGAAAATAACTTATTTCTAATTAGGCATCTAATTTATTATATCTCATCATATTATATGTCATCAGAAAGTCAGAAAAACTCTGTACTGAAAACTTTACATAAAAATGAGTGGCTTTTTTATGTGATAAATTCATCCTAAAAACTTTATGAAAAAAATGTAAAATATTAATAGATCCTTAAAATGTTAATAATGTAAAGGGAAATAAAATGTTGAATAATACAAACTTTCAGGTTAAGGTGATTTATTTATTTATTTATTTATTTCAAGATTTTTGCCATAGGGCATGTGCACTTGCCAGAGAGAGAGAGACAGTAAGAGGGAAAGTGAGAAATCATCTCTTGAGGCAAAGGCCATCCCCAAACCCCTTCTTCGTCCTCCTATTGGGATTTTGGGCATGCACATGCGTGTACCCAGTGTGATTTTCAGGTCACTGGGTCCAGCACTCAAACCACGGTCAGCCATGTGGGAGTCCAGTACCTTAACTACCAGGCTACCTGCTGGCCCCAATTTTTAAATAATTTGTATAATATTAGTTATATCCCCAAAATTAATTGGCAAATTAACAAAAAAGTAATATTTTTCTTCCTCCTATGTGCTTTTCAGGGTGCAGTGAACTAGAACTGGGCTTTAAAAAAATATTTGGAAGAAAGTAAGACATTCTGGGGAGGGCATAAGTAAAAGGGAAATAGTGAAAAGCTTTTTATGGAGCAAGTGCTGCCCAATAGTTTGCGTAAAGTGTGTGGGTTTTGGTAAATAGGAAAATAGGTGTTGTAATAAATGAAGGTGTTCAGGAGTTTATGGTGGAAAAAAGGCAGGAAGAAAGGTCATTAGGAAGATTAGTATCATTGACGGTATAATCTGAATATATTGGAAAAGAAAGATAAAGGAATTATTTAGGAAACTTTAAAAATAATTTGTAGGGTCACCCAGTGTAGTGTAGTGCAAAAAGTTTTTTTACACCTTTTCCTACGTTAGAACAAGTCAAATCAGATCATTAGGTATTACTTGAATATCTTAGGTATCTAAGGATCCATCTTTCCAGATCTGTCATCCTTTAGCTATAACCTGTTTGGGAGCAGGAAATTTACTTGAGTAGGTAGCAAAAAAACAGTTGGAAAGAATGGGGAATTGTACATTGCTATAAACTGGCCATTTCACCATCTCACTTCCTCCCGCCCCTCCCCATCTCTCACTGGTGGGCATATGTGCCCTATAGAAAATTAAAAATAGTAATAATGATAAATAATAAAATTAAACCTTTAATTTTTTTTAATTTTAAAAATTAAAAAAAGAAAGTAATGATAGATGATAGCAGCCAAGGCAGAAACAATAAGGAGCAGTAGAGACACAAGGGAACTGAGGCAAGATGACTTCATTCCTCTTGCAAAACCCTAGTCATTTCACTATCATTTGTCTTCTTTTCAAAGGGAGTAAGTTGGAAGAAGAGAAAAGACTGTACAATAAGTAGCTACCCTTTTTCTACCTCTCCCTGCACTATTAGCTTATTGATTCAGTTTTTCTATTTCAAATGAAAAATTTGAGTGAGATAGAGACAGAGCACCCAGGAGGGTCTTGGTGCTGTGATCCCCGGCCTCAGGCAGCCTCAGATCATGGGCATGCACGTGCCAGCATACTCAAGGAGGTCTCTGGATGCAAACCCAGAACCTTCCCTTGTGGGTCAACATCTGGAAGTGTCACATTTTACTGCCAAGCCACTGCCTGGCCCCTGGTTCAACTGTCTTTTTGTTTTGTTGGGTTTGTTTGTTTGTTTGTTTGTTTGTTTGTTTGTTTGCCAAAGGATGAATGTATATGTGAAAGATAGAGAGCACCCCACAATGGAACCTGACCGTACTACGGTCCTTTATCAATAACACTTTTGTTGGGAGCCTGGGCATGCACACATTCCCCGGATGTTTTTCAGGCCGGAATTTGAACCACGGTGCTTATCCGCTGTGCTACAGGACTAGACCAACTTTTTTTTATTTTTTAAGCTATAGGGCGCATGTACTTACTAGACACAGAGACAGAGGGGAAGGAAGTAAGAAAGCACCCCCCCAGGGGGTTGGCCACACTATAATCCCTTCTCCATTCTTCTCTTAGGATTCTGGATACATGAGCCTGGTGTGCTTCTCAAGCCACTGGATCTGGGAGTCAAACCATACCATCTGCTGGCCCCCAACTTTTTTTAAGAGTTTATTTTATCCATGATAGGGAGCACACAAGACAGAAAAAGAGAGCGAGAAACACCCTCAGCTTGGTCTTGTCGCCTGCAGTCTTCTTTCCCCAGTCATCCTGCTTACCAGGATCCAGGCATATGCACACATTCCTGACTAATTTTCAGACTGACCTGGGGATCAAACCCACAGATGGCCATGTGGCTTCCAACTGTGCCACCAGAATGGATCTCATTCAACTTTTTCTGATTCCCCTTTTCAGTAGGCCTGTTAGCCGAAAAATAGTACAAAAGGTACTCATAAGCAACAGCATTAGAGATTGTATTATTCCTGTGCCTCCCAAAATGTGTCCTGTGTGCAGAAAATAAAAAGATGTTCTGTAATGATGAAGAATCAACTGGCTTTGGAATAAGTCACATCCATGTTCTTTACCACAGCTGCTTAAAGTGATAAAAGGTCTCTGTCATCCATCCAGAGGCTAGATACAAAGAAGAGAGCAGTGCAAGCTGACAGGGCAGTGCAGGCAGTCTGTTTTAATAAAGCCAGTAAATCAAACAAGTCAAATATCCCATTATGAGCTGTGAAGGAGGCATTTCTAATGACTTGAATAGAGAGAGATTTTAGACTAAGGTCCTCATTAATTTTGCAGAGAGTAAGTCAAGTTATACTATTTATACTCGTATACCACTGCTCAAGTTTTATTCTAGCTCAATGAGAAAAAAGACAACACATACATAAGGGACTCTGCTGGAGCTGTATACATTTAACCCTTTAGACCAGTTGCCTCAATATCTCATTCTACACAACATGGTTAGAGCTAATATTCCTGGTGTTAACCCTGTGTGCTTAAGAAATAAATGAGGGGCTGGCAGGTGGAGTGGTGGTTAAGGCAGCTGAACTCCCACATGGCTGACCGGGATTTGAGACCCAGAGCTGGCAGCTTGCTTTCTTTCCTTCTCTCGAGTCTCTATCTGGTCAACTTCAAAAAAATAAATAAATAAAATAATAACACAGTGAATAAAATTAAATACAATTTTAAAAAAGAAACAAATGAGTAGGTAGTTTATTCTACATGGAATTTAATGAAAAATAATTGTGTTTTTACACCTAATCAATTATGTAAAACCTTGGACCTCCCAAATCATCTGTTCTGTTGCTAATAACAGAAATGGGGGCCAGACATGGCTTCTGGAAGTTAAGGTGACTGGGTCCTACATGATCAGCTGTGTAGTTCAAGTCCCAGACCTGGCAGCTTGGAAAACATACCAGAAGTATGTGCATGCATGCCCCAAATCATGAAAGGAGAAATGGAGGAGAAGGGATTGCAGCATGATCATCCCATGTACGGGAAGGGGGTGGGGCAGGGGCAGGTGTGCTTTTTCACTTTCTCTCTCTCTCTCTCTCTTTTGTTCTCTCTCTCTAGTGAGTGCATGGGCCCTCTAGCAATTTTTTTTTTTTTTTTAATGAAAATAAAATGCCTCAGCCTAGGTAATATAAGAGAGAGGTTTATTTAGCTCACAGTTTGGAGATCCAAGGTCCAGGTGTCATATCTGGTAAGGGCCTCCTTTCTGGTGGTTAACATGGAAGAGGGCAGGCAGGACTGTGTACAGAGCATGTTCGTGTCTGTGTGTCCCTGCTCTAGTCTCATTCCCTCTCCTTATAAAGCCACCGGTATTTAGGTGGGGGCCCGAACCTAATAACTTTATCCAATCTTGTCACTTATCAAAGGCTTCCCCTCCTATTCCCATATTTGGATTAAATTTCCTGCTCTTTTAATATGTTCACAATGCACATAATGAATTTTAGGGGGACACGTTTAAACCATAGCACCATCCTTTCCCTAAGCGTTTCATGAATGAGTTTTTACTTTATGTGAAATGTACAGAAGAGTAAGAAAAGATCTTTTCTTCTGAAAGAGTCTAGGCTAGGAAGATCAGAAAGTTAAATAGTTCAAGTGAAGACATTACAAATAATGTCTTAAGTGTATGATTAATTAACATAATGCTATAGGAATTCAAGGATGGAGGGATGACTTCCACAGAAGGAATGAAATTTAAAGGTAAAATTTCATTAGTTTGAGTAAACTTCAGGGAGGAAGGTAGGGGGTGAGTCAGGTTAGATCTAAGAAATATTACTTTCAAATAGCAATTCTTGATGACAGAGACCTTGAGGTGGGGATTTTTATTCACTTGGCTTAAAAAGCACTCAATAATGGGCCAGCAGGTAGCATGGTAGGTACGATGCTAGATCCCACATGGCTGACTTAATGGTTTGAGTCCCAGACCCAGTGGCTTGAAAAGCATGCTGAAAAACTCCCCAAAAATCCTGAGAGGAGATGGAAAAGAAATTGTGGCATGGCCATCCACCCTAGGGGTGATTTCTCACTTTTCCTTCCTCCCTCCCTCTCTCTCTCTCTGGCCAGCACATGTGCCCTATAGTAAAATAAAACAAACAAAAAGAACTCAATACATATTAATAAGTTGATTTGTTGGTAAGTAAACTTAATATAGAAAGTATTTTTTTATTTTTTAAAAAGACTTTTTTTTTCCCGGGGGGGTGGGGGCAGAGGTTTTTGCCTTAGGGCATTACTCACCAGAGAGAAAGAGAGAGAGAGGAAAAATGAGAAATCACCCCCCAGGCCGAATGGCCAAACTGAATCCCTTCTCTTCCGTTCTTCTCCTGGGATCTTGGGCCTCTATGTACACACACCTGGTGTGAGTTTCAAGCTACCAGGTCCAGGACTCAAACCACAGTCATCCATATGGGAGTCCAGCAACGGAACCACTACGCCATCTGTTGGCTCCCTAAAGAATTATTTAATTTTATTTTTTTATTATTATTATTTTCAATTTGACCAGAGAGAGAGAAAAGGAAAGTGAGAAAGCAAGCCACCAGGTCTGGGATTCAAACCTCTTGTAGGCCAAGAGGAAATCTAGCACCTTTACCACAATGCCACCTGCCAGCCCCTATAAAAAGAATTCTTAACTTCTATTATAGGTTTTTCTGTTTAAAAGTCTAACCTATAATGAAGAAAAGTTGAGTATGCTTATTTGAAAATTTGTGAACATTTATTATTTTCAATATACTTTTTTTTTCCCTAACAGGTCTGTCACTTCTGAACTTGAAAAGATACAGAAGTTTAACTGTATCCTTTGTAAGCAGTGGTCCTGTATAATTTTTCCCTTTCCATTCTAAGCTTGATTAATGACTCTTTATGAATATTAATTTATACTTCCACATGCTGAGTTTGATTAAGTCAGCAAATACTTAAGATTGTATTTTAAAAGGTATATTGTTTCTAGCAGGTACATCATTTTAATCTTTATACTTTTATTTGGGTTTAAATAGGGTAAAGAATAGTGAACTATGGTTACAGTTTCCTTTGGAGACTTTTTCACTTATATAATTATACTCAAAATTATAACTGTTTAAAACATATTTTTGGCTTTTTCTTATGAAGAGACTGTACATTCTCTATTCTACACATTCTTATCCCATTCATCTATATTTGTTTTCTCTTGTGATATTTCTGTAATCTTACTCAAATAATAAACCTTCTGCAACAGAGGACAGGTTATTTTTTTTCTCTTCACTCTAGACTTGTTTTTAAAATGAAATATACATGACCTAGATTGTTTACAATCCTATCATCTCTACTCTTGTTCATTTTTTCCTGTATCATTTCTTCACTTAAGGAAATGTTACTGAGATTAATATTCTTTTCTTCCCACCAAACTTCTATCTAGACACATACATACCCTCTTCCTTCCCTATCCCTTATACTATAACTAGTTTCCTCATCTGTAAGGATTGACTTAATAAACTCTATTTATACATCCAAGAAATTTTCCTCCCAATTGAGAAATAATATTTTACTATGAAGGTCAGGCTCTATGAAAATAAAAATAATTTAAATGAAATGTGTAGAGGAAAGCTCCTTAATTAAGCAACTCAGCGCTACTAGAAAATAGTGGTGTCCTCAACTGGATTTCTAACTCAAAAAATGAACACTCTTCTGATTACTATGAACCAAGATCTTCAGAAACCTTGCTAGAAGTTAATGAAAAGAGAGTATCTGTAGCATTGAAGAAAACTTCCGAAATCCTTCAGGATATTGACTGTCTTCTATCAAACTCTAAAAAGTGAAAAATCAGAGCCAGCTGGTGGTGTGGTGAAGGCGACTAGATCCCACAGGCAACTGCATGGTTTGAGTCCCAGACCCAACAGCTTGAAAACATGCCAGGTAGTATGTGCACACGAAACTCCTGAGAGAGGGACCAGCAGTTAGCATAATAGCTATGTCGCTGAACTCCCATGTAGTCTACCGTGGTTCGAACACCGGACCCAGTGGCTTAAACTCACACTGGGCACATGTGCGTGTGTACCCAAGATTCCAAGAGAATGAAGGAGGACACATTGCAGCATGGCCATCCCCCCGGGGGGTGATTTCTCACTTTCTGTCTCTCTGTCTCTCTCTGTCTTTCTGGCAAGCACACACGCCCTATAGCAAACAAACAAACAAACAACTCTACAAAACTCCCGAGAGAATGGAGGAAAAGGGATTGCAGTGTGAGAAGCGCTTTCTCACTCTCCACCCTCAATACAAGTGCACATGCCCTATAGTAAATGTTTTTTTAAGTGAAAAATTGAATTATTACAGTGTCTTATTCAATCTTAGGAATGTTGCTTCATGTGACTGGTATAAGATTACTATTAAGTCAAATTATATATATTATATCTGCATAATAATTGATCATTGACATTTAACTTTAGAGGTATTTTACCTAACTTGTAAATTTTTTAAGATTTATATTTTATTAATAAATAATTTAACAGTTTGAACTATTTCATTCTTTAGATATGTGAGAAAAAATTTGTGAAGTTATAAAATTATTTCTGTTTTTATCTTCTGGAACATTCGCTATTAATTTTTATATAGGACTGTGCGTTAGGTCATTTGCTATTTTCTTTCTCCAGGTATTTCTCAAAAGAACTGAGTAAAGAACTAGATCTTAAACAAAACTATCAAAACATATAAACTGATCAGGGCAATATTGCAAGCTATGAATCAAGCACTTCAATAAAGACTAAATTTCATCTAGATTGTCTCATGAACCAGTTTCTTTCTTTTAAACATATGAAAAATACTTATGCTGCAAAATGTGTGAAATTAAGAGAAATAAGCTCACCAAAAGTGCTATTTATCACAACCTTGTTGACTACATTATCTAAAAATACTTAAACTGAATAGAAACAGAAGTGTTCTAATTTTCTGATTTCTATAAAAGACCAGGCTCTTCATAAAATAAGAGAAGCAGAAACAGAGGAAACAAGGAGAAAAATGGAGAGAACACAACATAATAGTTCAGGAGTTACAATGTCAGTGAATTGGATGGGCACAAGGCCCTCCTTCTACCTCCTCACACTGGGTTCCTTCACATTTCAGATCTCAGCACATATATCATTTCCTCAGAAGATACCATTACCTAATGATAGCCCTGCCTAACTTTCCCTTCACTCTGTTAATATCCTTTAGAGGACATAGCAGTCTCTCCAGTTGGTTGGTTTCCTCATGGTGTATCCCCCTCTTGAGCTCCACTGGCCTTGTTAGCATAGTATCTGGCATACCTAGGGCACTCAGTATGTATTGTATAAATGAATCAGTGCCTTCAGGCTTCTGTCTCTGACTACAAAGAAAATATCTGTAATTTTGTTGTTTTGGTTTGCAGGAACCCGCCTATGTTGTCTCCTGATAGCTCCAGAAAGCCTCAACTATAATGCCAAATTGTTAATGCAATCAGAAAAAATGTGTTCTAGGTGCCCGCAGATGGTGTGGTGGTGGTTAGGGGCACTAGATTCCCACATTGCTTGCTACAGTTTCCACATCTCTCAATCTGCCTGCCCCTCTCTGGTCCAATTAAATAATAGAGCTAAATAAAATGATTTTTTAAAAAAATTGTCCTAAACGTAAAGAAAATCCCTCAAAATTGTGAATATATTTGGTTGCAGATATTTTTAGTTATATTTTAAACTATGTGGAGGTTAAAATGTGTATATTAATAATTTTCTTCCTCAGTTGAGTGTTTTCCATTGGCTAAGGACCAAATGTGACAAGCAACAAAAATTTCTTTGAGCAACTTTGAGGTATTTAAGTGATCTAGGAGTCTGCTTAAGACTGAAGATTCCAATTTAAAGTGGTCTTTTTCAACTACGTAATTCATTTCATTGCACTATTGCCCTTGCTTTCCATCTGTCACTTGTTTTGAGCAACTTCGGTAGGAAGGGGCTAGACCGTCCTCCTCTTAGGCCAGTGCTTCTTAGAACCAAATGCCAGGCTCGAAGCCTCCTTGTTGCTGAGACAGCACCCACTACCCAGAGACAGAGACCAGATCCGGCCTTAGTCCCAGTGGGTTGGGCCTGAGTCGAGTTACTCTGTACTCAACTGCTTTTTTTCGACTTCTGAGTGTTTATTAAGCCATGATTAAAGCGTTCCAGCCATGAAACTGCAGATGACGAGAAGGCAACAAAAAATGATCATGAGATCCCCAAGGGGGCAGTGAAGCACTACTCCGGAGCGTCGGTCCCTCCGTCTCGTGAGACTCACTGCCCCCCACCCTAAGGCAGCCACTGAAGGAAGTTGGGAATATTTCCACACCCACGACCGCCCGAGGTTCCAAGCTCAAGCATCCGGTAGTATAGTCTGCGTCCATTTGGCAAGGCCAGTTCTCGGGCCCCAGCTTTCGGCCGCCACTCGGGTGCGTCCTGGGTAGGTGGCTCGTGTGTGGCACGGCGCTGGCTCAATTGAAAAACGAATCCTGGGGTCTGACGGAAGCCAACAGGGCACTTCTCACTATTATCTCACTCCATTTATTTCTCCGTCGTTTCTACCCATAGTCCGAGAGGTCTCTTCAAGGAATAAACCCACTCGGGCAAAGGGCACGCCGCCGCTCCCGTAGCCTGGGCGTGGGGCGCGCATCCCGGCGTCCTCCGCCCGAATCGCAGGCCGGAGCCGCCCTAAAAAAAGGGGGGGTGGGGGGCGGGGCGTGCCTGCCGTTGGCGCGGAGGCTGGCCTCAGCCCGGAGGCTCGAGCTCGGGTACTGGTGGGCGGGGCGGGGCGTGAGGGGACTGAATGGACGCCGCGACCCTGCGTCCTGAGGTGGGAGCCCGGAGGCGGGGACCACCAGGATCCGAAGTCCGGAAGGTTTGGATTGGAGCTGGCAAGGGTGTGCTGAGAGGGCAGGCACGTGGGATCCCGGAGCAAGCGGGCAAGAGGGAGCGGCTGGTGGGTTCTGTCCCGTGGCCCAGGGTCTGCGAGGAGCCCTGGCACCGAACTACGGCTTCGCGCGCTTTCTGGATCCCGTAGATAATGTATGTTATGGATGACTGGCCGTTATGGCAGAGTGCGTAGACTGAGGATTGCTTATGTCCTTATTTCTCGTTATTAGCTCTGGCTCGGGCTCCTCGCACCTGGCGTTCTCCTGGCCCAGGTCTGGATGCCGGGGCTCTGCAGTAGAGCCTGTTGCCATCCTTGACAGGTGTAAGAGCCTTTCGCACCTTGAATCCTGGGGGGCTTAAATGCCGAATGGCATGGTCCCTTCTCTGCCCCATTTTTTGCATTGACATTTTTAAAATTATTGCGTAACACCAACCTCAGAAAATGACTTTGGAAATTTATTGAGTCTTGAAACACGATGGAATTCAAACCTATTTTACTGGTAATGGTTGTAGGAACTAAACGTTTTATGTGAGAGATATGATAGCTATAAAAACTTTGTGAAAGTGAGCAGCACGTCTTTTTTGCCAATTAGCTGCAGTAGATTTGACATCTGCTTTCGATACTTTAGCCTTAAAGAAATGGAATATATTAAGTTTCACAGCAACTGCAGTTCCATGAAGAGGACTTATCTGTAAAGCATAATAAAGGCAGTTTTTGGATTTCAGATAGTGAGATTGGTGGGATGGGGAGAAGGTTGAAGCAGAAGATGAAATTTACATTGAAATTTGTTGGCTCTTGTTTGAGCAATGATCTTGTCTGAGAGATTATTAGCAAACAATATCGGATAGCATTATAATTAAAGTGACCAGCTAATTATGTGTTTGTGGAGTTAAAGAAAGGAGGGGGGGGATTACTACTACATATATTTCCAAGGCTCCATAGTAATGGTATTCATTATAATGGGGATGGGGTGTGACAAAGTTTGGGCATTGCAGAGTGACATTTGTAAGTCATAGAAAGAAGTCTATGACAGTCAAGTCGTCCCAGGTATTATCTTTAGGTATTATGTTGAGGATTGCTTATGTACTTACTGTTTGTATTAGTATAATTAAATAATTACTATTAAGCATCTTAAGTGCATTAAATTTTATGCATGACAAGTTTAAAAGAAAATTATAGTTATTACTCTTAAGGAATCTTCCCAACAAAATGAATATGTAAAATAAACAGAGCTGAGGAGTTTAGGAAATTCAGAAGTCCATTTTATTATTATTTGTAAGGAGAGGCATGGGAAGTAGAGAAGGAAAAGTTCTATGAAGAAAAATGGGGGGGGGTGGCCCCTATAGCCTAATGGTTAAGGGAACTAGACATCACACAGATGACCACAGTTGCAATCACTTTGATGCCTTGAAAACCACGCCTTGCACGTGTGCATGCATGACCAAAATCCCAAGAGGATGGAGAAATGTAGACGGGATTGCAGCATGACCATGACAGAATTGCGAAGGGATTGCCTTGGGACCATGCCCTATTGATCTTTTTGTCCTCTCTGTTTCTCTGTACTGAGTGTGCATGTGTGCCCAAAATCCCAGGAGGAGAATGGAGAACATTTAAATATATGCAATCATGCACCACACAACGATGAACCACATATAACAGTGGTCCCAGAAGGATCATTTAGGATATACCATGTAGCCTAGGTGTTCAGTAGGCTATACTGTCTCAGTTTGTGTAAATACATTCTATGATGTTAGCACAATGATGACATCACCTATCATCACATTTCTCGGAGGTATCCTCATCTTTTTTAAGAGAGGTTTTTGGGGTTTGATATATATATATATTTTTTTTTTGGCTTTAGGGCATGTGCACTTGCCAAAGAGACAGAGAGACAGAAAGCAAGACATCATCCCCAGGGAAGATGGCCATGCTGCAATCCCTGATCCTCCATTCTCCTCTCAGGCTCTTGGGTGTATGCACACACTCACCCAGCATGAGTTTTAAGCTGCCAGGTCCCACACTCGAACCACAGTCCATTACGTGGGTGTCCAGTGATGTAACCATTACACCATCTGCTGGCCCTGGTATCCCCATTATTAAGTGACCCATGACTGTTGTGTGATTATAGAAATTGTTTCATGAGTGAACAGACATAAAATGGGATGGATTTCTAGTGGCATAATGAAATATACAGTTAAGTAGTTATTACCATTTATTTTGTCTGCCTTCTGAGATGAGATTTGAAAATAAATTTATAACTGTGTACATAAACATAGTTTGAGTGGCAACAAAGCTTCTTTAAAAATTTTTTAGTAGGTATATGCACTTGCTAGAGAAAGACACAGAAAGAGAAAGAGGAAGCACCCTCCAGCAGATGTGGTCACCTTGCAATCCCTTCTCCATTTCTCCATCCTGTCATGTATACACATACCAGACATGTTTTTCAAGCTACCAGGGCTGGAATGCAAACCATGGTCAGCCATGTGGAATCTGGCTCCCTTAACCATGGGGCCGCAGGGCCAGCCTAGCAGCAGAGGTTTTATGAGAGCTCTCTGTATAATCTGTGCCCACCCTCTATTGTTCTCACACTCATTTACCTGGACTAACTTACAGACCATAGCCTACTGAACAAGGGGAATACTGTTGCTGCTGCTGCTTCTGCTACTGTGCCTCTCTGGGTTGGTCATTAATTCAAATTTTCTGTGTCCCATTTCCCATCCAGCTAAGTGAATAATGACATTTTTCACTGGTTCAAAGAGATATCTTATAAATTTAAAAAGTATATCCCCTAGGGCCAGCCAGTGGCATGGTGGTTAAGGTGGCTGGATCCCACATGGTGGACTCTACAGTTTGAGTCCCAGACCTGGCAGCTTGAAAAACACACTAGGCATGTGTGTGCATACATGCTCAAAATCTAAAGAGGAGAATGAAGGGAAAAGGATTGCAGAGTGGCCATCTCCCCTGGGGTGGGGGATGATTTCTCACTTTCTTTATTGGTCTTTCTCTGGCAAGCACAGGTTTCCTGTGGCAAAACTAAAAATAAATAAATTAATTAATTAAAAATAAGTATATACTCTAAACCTTTAGACATATTGACTTCTTTATTCAAGTGCCAAATGTGTCTTCTTTTAAAATAATTATTTTATTTATTTATTTATTTGTTGGTTTTTATTTATTTAATTTGGAATAGGGCACATGAGCTCACCAGAGAGAGAGAGAAAGTGAGAAAGCAAGCCACCAGTTCTGTAACTCAAACCACAGTCAGCCACGTGGGAGTCCAGTGCCTTAATCACTGGACCACCTGCTGGCGCCTCAAATGTTCCTGTTAAATAGAGAAAATCATTCATAATTTGTGACATTATGAATCCTGAGGTTTATAGAATGCATTCATGGCATTATAATGGAGGTATCTTTTGCATATTTTGCATTTTGTTCATGTCTCTTGGTAGAAAGTACCTGGAAATTATTAATTCGTCATCTAGAAGAATTCAGCAAATAATCCAATCTTAGTGCATTTGAAAATAATTTTCATTATTGCACATACCAAAGAATTCTATTATTGACAATTCCATTATCATTAACAAAGTAGTTGGGCTCTGCAAAATATGTATTCTTTGCATAAGAACTTACATCAGTTTATTTCATTAAAAAATGTAGAATCAACATTTCTCTTTCTTTCTTTCTCTCCCTCTCTCTCTTACTTTCTTCTTTTAATTTGACCAGAGTGGGACAGAGTGAGAGAGAAAGAGAGAGCAAGCCTCCAGGTCTGAGACTCAAACTGCACTCAGCCATGTGAGAGTCCAGTGCCCTTAACCACCATGCCACCTGCTGGCCCCCCCAAAATATAGAATCTTTCTAGACTTTTCATGTGTCAAATACTATATAACTATGAAAAAAGTTATTATTTTTTATTGCCAGAGGGCATGTGCATTTGCCAGAGAAACCAAGAAAGAGGGAAAGAAAGAAAGCATCCCTTGGTGGGGTGTAATCACATCACATTGCAATGCCTTCTCCAATTTGCCATCCTATCAGGATTTGAGGCACACACACACACACACATGCACTTGGTGTGCTTTTCAAACTGTTGGAGCTGGGACTTGATCTACTGTTGGCTATGAGGGATCTTGCCCCCTTAACCACTAGGCTATGGGCCTGGTGCTTGCAGGGTTTTTTTGTTTTGTTTTGTTTTGTTTTCCCTAAATGTTTACAGAACAAAAATCATCGAAGCATGTCTCTTGATTCTAAAGCTGTTGATATTACTTGCACCAACATTTAAGCTTAGTTTTAGCTTATCAGGCCATTGTAGTTTTCTTTTTAACTTGTTAAAAAGTGATGTTACGACCAACTGGTGGCTCGGTGATTAAGGCAGGTGATCCTACACTGCTGAATGCAGTTTGAGCCCTGGAACTGGCCCCTTGAGAAACACATGTGCATGCATGCCCAAAATTCCAGAGGGAGAGATGGTGGAGAAGGGATCGTGGCATGACCATTTCCCATGGGAGGTGTTTTCTTGATTTCCCTCTTTCTCTCTCTGTCTCTCTTTGGCAAGAACGTGTGCCCTCTGGCAAAATTTTTTCTAAAAGTCATAAATTATGCTGCATTATGGTCAGAGAATTTATCCTGAATATCTCCATATATATTTAAATTTGCTATAGGGCACATGTGCTCACCCGAGAGAGAGGGAAAGTGAGAAAGCAAGCTGCTAGGTCCAGGTCTTAAACTGTGGTTGGCCGTATGGAAGTCCAGCACCTTAAACACCATGCCACCATGGTTAACTTTTTTTTAAAGAATTATTTAATTTATTCATTCTTTTATTTTAATTTGACCAGAGAAAGACACAACAGGGGAGTGGGGAGTAAGAAAACAAGCCGCCAAGTCCAGGACTTGAACCATGGTCAGCCATGTGGGAGTATCCAGCACCATAACCACCACACCACTTGCTGGTCCCCCCATGGTTAACTTTTATAAATGCTCTGTGGACATTTGAAAAAAAAAACCTGTGTGTTTTAATTGCCAGACAGTATATACAATCCAGTCAGAGAGAGAGAGAGAAAAAGGGAGGTGGAGAAAGCACCCTCCAGTGGGGCATGGTCATGCTACGATCCCTTTTCTTCCATTTCTCCATTCTGTCAGGATTTGGGGCATGTTCACATATGCACTCAAAGTGTTTTCCAAACCAATGGGGCTGAGATTTGAACCATGGTTGGCCAACTGGGATCCAGCTCCCTTATCTACTAGGTTATGAGATTGGCCCTAAAATGTGAAGAGTTTTTGTATTGTATGAAAATGAATGTTTAATTATATTATTCAGATTAGCCATATTCTTTTTGACTCCTTGATTTAATTTATGTAGTTTGCTGCTACATTGATATGCAAGAATCTTCTTACTTTATATAACTTTATTACTACATGAATATCCTTTTAGTCTTAATCATTTTTGCCTTCAATTTTGTGTTTGATATTAATATTATCACTGTTGCTTTATTTTGTTTGTATTTTGTAGACATATATTTTCTCAGCTCTTTATTGTCTATATTAAAACCTTTTGGGGACCAGCAGATGGCATAATGGCTACGTCGCTAGACTCCCATGTAGTCGACTGTGGTTCAAGTCCTGAACCTGGTGGCTAAAACTCAAGCCAGGCGTGTGTGTGCATGTTCAGGATCCCGAGAGAATGGAGGAGAAGGGATTGCAGCATGGCCATCTCCCCTGGTGGTTGATTTGTTGCTTTCTGTCTCTCTCTTTCTCTTTCTGGCGAGCTCACGTGCCCTATAGCAAAAACCTCTTCCAAAAGTAATAATAATAATTATGCATGAAGGACCAGCAGGTGCATCGTGGTTAAGGGCACCAGACTCCTACATGGCTGACTACAGTTTGAGTCTCGGACCTGGCAGCTTGCTTTCTCACTTTCCTTCTCTCTCTCTTTCTCTATAACTTTGTCCCTCTCTGGTCAAACTTAAAAAAGGAAGGAAGGAAGGAAGGAAGGAAGGAAGGAAGGAAGGAAGGGAGGGAGGGAGGGAGGGAGGGAAGAAAAGAAAGAAAGGGGGAAGGAAGGAAGGTTAAATTTTTTTTTCTAAATTATGCATTTAAAAAAAGGGACCAGCAGGTAGCATGGTGGCTAAGGGTGCTGGACTCTCACATGGTCAACCACGGTTCAAGTCCTGGATCTGGCAGCTTGCTTTCTCGCTTGCCCCATCTCTCTCTGTCTGTCTCTGTTCAAATTAAAATAAATAAATAAAGTTAAATAAAATAATTCTTTAAAAGAAATTATGTATGGATTTCAAATTTTTGAAATGTGCGAAAAGGCATCAATATAAACTTAATTCCATCTTTCCATGAACTTTGTGAAGACCCCTTGTATATATAAACATGTAAGAAATATCAGTTTTATAACTTGGGTGTACCTTTGTGATACTACATTATGATACTGTATTGTGCATATTGCTAAGATTGTCTTGTACAAATATTTTATGGCATTCCATAATCTTCATTAATATTTTTGTTCTGGCGCTCTGTTACAGAGGACTGGGAACGTAAACAGGAATAGACTGTTCCTGATGGCCCTTAGGATGCACTGACATGTTTGTGATGGCATCTGAGACTGAGAAGACCCATGCTTTACTCCAGTCCTGTAGCACTGAGTCTCTTACCGCCAGCCTTGGTCTGGGGATATTTTGCCTAGTAGCTGACAGACTTCTTCAGTTTACCATAATTCAGCAAAACGACTGGCTTCGTGCTCTCTCCGATAATGCGGTACATGGTGTGATTGGCATGTGGTCTTGGGCAATAGTCACTGGAATCAAGAAGAAGACTGACTTTGGAGAAATCATTTTAGCTGGCTTTTTAGCCTCTGTTATTGATATGGACCACTTCATTCTAGCTGGATCCTTGTCTTTAAAGGTAAGAAGTAGATATGTTTAATTTTTCTGGTTTTTTTTTTCCTTTAATTTTTTTAGTACAATTATACTGATCTTCACAGCATCATTTAGAACTAGACAGGATTAATCTTAATTTAACATTTAAAAAGCCCTTTTTGGACCAGCAAGTAGCATAGTGGTTAAGGTACAGGACTCACACATGGCCCACCACAGTTCTAGTCCCGGACCTGGCAGCTTAAAAATTATGTCATGTGTTGGTGTGTGCATGCTCAAAATCCCAGGAGGAAGAGAATGGGGGAGAAGGAATTATAGTGTGGCCATCACCCCTGGGGGGTGATTTCTCACTTTCCTTCTCACTTTTTCTTTTTCTCTCCAGCAAGCACATGTACCCTATGGCAAAAACCTTAAAAAAATAAATAAGGATGAACTCAGCAAAGTGTTGAAGGAAGTATTAACAAAATGGTTTATATATATATATTTTTTTTTTTTGAGAGGTTTTTCGCTATAGGGTGCGTGCGCTCACCAGACAGACAGAGAGACAGAGAGACAGAAAGCGAGAAATCAGCCCCCGGGGGGGATGGTCATGCCACAATCCCTTCTCCTCCATTCTCTTCTTGGGATCTTGGGCACGCACGCACACGTGCCTGGCGTGAGTTTTAAGCCACCAGGTCCGGGACGTGAACCACAGTTGACTACGTGGGAGTTCAGCGACTTAGCCATTACGCTAACTGCTGGTTCCCCAAACTGGTTTATATTAACTGGGGTCGTTTCTGGGACTGTCCTGGCTCTTTTTGTATTGGTCTTCTTCTTTCAAGACTACACTTAATTTTCCTCTTATTTTTTGTTTTTAGAATTATTTAATTTTATTTATTATAATTATTTTTTTTATTTGACCCAAGAAAGACAGAGAGAGAGGGAAAGTGAGAAAGCAAGCACCAGGTCCACAACTTGAACAGTAGTCAGCCGTGTAGTGCCTTAACCACCTTAACACCTGCTGGCCCCTCCCTCTTATTCTTCATGTTCTTAGTATGTAGCTCCTAAGTGCTGTGTCAGTGTTGAATAACTTTAACCTGATTCCCAGTCCTGGGGAATGACTTGAATGGATGTATTCACCCAGACCCTCTTGGGGCCATATACATGCATTTCTTCTTCTTCTTCTTCTTTTTTTTTTTTTTGTTTATTTTAAAGAATTATTCCAGGGACCAGCAGTTAGCATAATGGCTATGTCGCTGGACTCCCATGTAGTCCACCGTGGTTCAAGTCCCGGACCTGGTGGCTTAAACTCACGCCAGGCATGTGTGCATGCATGCCCAAGATCCCAAGAGGAGAATGGAGGAGAATGGATTGCGTGGCCTGCCCCATGGGGGGTGATTTCTCGCTTTCTATCTCTCTGTCTCTCTGGTGAGTACACGCACCCTATAGCAAAAAAACCTCTCTAAAAACAAAAGAATTATTCCATTCATTCATTCATTTATGTATCTATGTATTTATTTTAATTTAACCAGAGAGGCACAGAGTGAGAGAGAAAAAGAGAGAGAGAGAGAGAGAGAAAGAGAAAGTGAGAAAGCAAGCTGCCAGGTTCAGGACTCAAATTGCAGTCAGCCATGTGGGAGCCCAGAGCCCTTACCCACCACTCCACCTGCCAGTCCCCCTCAACCCCCCACTTTTGTTAAGAACGATATTTGCTGTAGGGCATGTGCGCTCACCAGAAAGACAGAAAGCAAAAAATCACCCCCTAGGGGGAATGGCCATGCTGCAATCCCTTCTCCTCCATTCTCTTCTCAGGATCTTGGGCATGCATGCACATGCGCCCAATGTGTGTTTAAGCTGCCAGATCCGGAATTTGAACTGCAGTCGACTATATGGAAATTCAGTGACATAGCCATGAAAACAACTGCTGGTCGTGACAAATTTTTTTTTAAGAGAGAAACTTTTTGCTATAGGGCACGCATGCTCACTGGACAGACAGAGACAGAGAGACAGAAAACAAGAGATGATTCCCCAGGGAGGATGGCCGTGCCTCAATTCCTTCTCCATTTTTCTTTCAGGATCTTGGGCATGAACGCATATGTGCCTGGCATGAGTTTTAAGCTGCCAGGCCCAGGACTCAAACCATGGTCGACTACATGGGAGTCCCATCTGCTGGTCCCAAAGTCTATTTTTTTTTACCTTTTTTTCATTTTTGAATTTCTGATTCAAGGTGTTTTTTCATGTTCCCAATGGGTTTTTGAACATAACTTGATTTGGAGTCTTGTGATATAATCTTATGTTTTGTGTAGTTTTTCTTTTGTGTGTGTGAGTGTGTCTGTTTGTGTAGTTTTTCTTTCGTGTGTGAGTGTGTCCATTTGTTTCCAGAAACAGGGCTCAAGGGCAAAGGTGTCTTTATTTCGTTTTCTTTCTTCCCCTTTATTCATGATAGAATGGCTGGGCACACATATGAGAGTGACCAAGAGAGAGAGATCTACCAGATCTGGTCATGCCATGATCCCCCTCCCCCTGCCATCCAGTTCTCTAGCCCTTCGGAATTAGGCACGTGGGCGTGCGCCTGTCTTATTTCAGGCCAACCAGGACAGAGTTTGGAAACACAGTCACCATGTGGAGTCCAGCCTCTCCTGAGCAGCAGTTACCGCTGTGTCCCAGAGGTAGCCCCTTATTCTGTTTTCTAGTTCCCTCCTGTACAAGCTTTTTACAGTATTGGTGTGTTTCATCACTTCACCTCATGGCATTGCAAGGTTCTGTGTTCCAAGATATTCTTGGCTAAGGTAGTGTCAGCAGAAGGACTGATGATGAGCTAACATATTATGGATGTAGAATTTGAAAACAAAGGTGGGAACACAAGTGGAATAATAATACAGAAATATTATGTGTTCCAATGATATAGAGGTTAAAAATCTTAAAATGTAGTAGATAATAGTGTTGACTGAAAAATAATGGGGTCAGGGGAAAGAGGAGTACAGAATAAACTTTTCAATGTTCAGCCAATAGACGGGAGTTAAAGAATCGTCAAGGAGTTTACAAGATTTGTAGTTTATGGGCGGTCTGACTTGACCGAGTGATGTGACACTCACTCTAGTAGATGGCCTTTTTGGAGGCTTGGGGAAGCAACATATGGCCCGGTGATTACACGAACCAGATCCCACAGGGCTTAACTGCACAGTTTGAGTCCTGGACCAGCAGCTTGAAAACACACCCCACATGTGTGCATGCACACCCCAAATCCAGAAAGGAGGAAAAAATGGAGAAGGGATTATATTTTAGCCATTCTTCAGGGCAGGGTGCTTTCTTGCCTTCTCATTTTCTTTCTAGCTCTCTCTGGTGAGCACATAAGCCCTATAGCGAATTTTTTTAAAAATTTAATAAAGAATTATTTCATTTCACTTCATTTATTTATTTTTCTTTGTATTTGACCAGAGAAGGAAAG